GTTTTGATCCTAGCTCTATAAAGCATGACTCTCAAAAGCCTGACTTCCATTATTATGGCTCACGAGATTGCAAATCGTCACTTTCGAGTCGTCATTTTCAAGTCATCATTCTCAGCTACAACCATAACACATGACTATGGGTCATGCATCTTTACTTCAGCTACGACCACAGTGACCCCGAGTCACACTTTTTATTTCAGCTCCAACCACATGACTTCAATCATTACTTTTATTTCGGCTCCGACCCTTATGACTCCGGTCATTGCTTATTACCTTGGCTCCGGCCACATGACTCCGGTCATTACTTATTATTTTGGCTCCGGCTGCTATGACTCCGGTCATCATTATTTACCTCGGCTCTAGCCATAGTGACCCCAAGTCACTTATTTTACTTCGGCTCCTACCATAGTGACTATGCGTCACCTATTTTACTTCGGCTCCTACCATAGTGACTATGCGTCACCTATTTTACTTCGGCTCTAGCCATGGTGACCACACGTCACCTATATTACTTCGGCTCTAGCCACAATGATTGAGTCATCAATTTTACTTCGGCTACGGCCATAACTCATGACTCCATGTCATGCAATTTTACTTCAGCTACGGCTATAACACATGACTCCGTGTCATGCATTTTTTCCTTGGCTACGACCCAAAACACATGACTCTATGTCATGCATCTTTACCTTGACTGCAGCCAAAGACACGACTTCATGTCATACATTTTTATATTGACTACCCCCATCTACACTCATCTTCCACACTAATCATTCACAAGTGAATGACTTCAATGGGGGAATAGTGTAAGGATAGGTCCGAGGTTAAGGACCTCGGACGTACTGCTATAATTCATTAATAGCCGAAGTGAAGTTAAATCCAGCACTTCTAGTCAAACAGCTGCACAGTAAATACAGTGGGCATGCCCATACCTGATTTATCACACAATACCCCGGTCCCGAATTTATCTATTTAAGGGACACGTCACACTCCGATCATCTTGCTAAGCAAGCCACATGGATACCTCACAAAGGCCTATAAATACACCCAGGGGCCACCTCAGAAAGGTAATTGAAACCAACCTTAAGCTCCTTTTATCTCCACTCTAAAGGTAGCCCCGATTATTGCTGACTTAAGCATCGGAGTGTCTACCTCGAGGACCCACCTCGGGGCTTTGCAGGTACATCCGAAGTGAAGATGCGGATTGAAGAAGGACTTCTGGTTTGGTGCAGTTACAATTCCCTTTTTTAACCATGAATTGGAGGAGATGCTAAAATTTTGCTTTCAAGTTGATGGCTATCAGGAGGATATTGAGTTTCTTATTTATGTTA